CCGCAGCCATGGGTCCCGGGCCGCGCGCTCTGCTCGCCGCCCTCCTGCTGCTCCTCTGCGGCGCCGGCCCCGCGCTCGGCGACACACCTGCCAACTGCACCTACCCCGACCTGCTGGGCACTTGGGTCTTCCAGGTGGGCCGCGGAGGTTCCCAGCGCGACGTCAACTGCTCGGTGATGGGTAAGCGCACGCGGCGCCCGGACAGCCTCCCTGCCCGCGCCGGCCGGGACACCCGGTCTGTCCCTGCGCCCCTTCCCCGCGGCGCGCACCGGGGAGCTCACCTGCGCGAGGCCGGGACGAGGCGCCCCTTGGGGTGCCCTCTCCTGCCAAGTCCAAGCTGAGCTGCTGAGAGCTGCTAACTGCAGTTTCTTGGTTACTCCCAGGGCTTCTATACTTTCTAAAATATTTTAGCGCCCCCCCCCCTTACTTTTTATTTTCTGGGTTTTTATTTTTGTGGGGTTTTGTGGGGTGTTTTTGTTTGTTTGTTTGTTTGTTTGGAAGAGAGTTCTGACCTCGCAATCCTATGGGAGGAGTCCGTTTGTTTGTTTGTTTGTTTGTTTGTTTGTTTGTTTGTGTGCCCGTGAAAAGGGAACTGAGAATATAGCAGGAAAGTTGACTCCTTTTGTTACATTGTGGGAAAGAGCCCTTCTGTGCACTGGTTTTGATTTGGATGTGTGCTGATGCTGCTAGCCTGAGAAAACTTCTGGCACCCCTCGGCGCGGTTTTATGTATTGCAGGGACGTATATAAAAACTTGTGGGTTTTTTGTTTTTTTTTAATTCTCTTAATAACTCTTTAGCAGCAAATTATATTTGGAAATGCCTAGAGCCAAGCACAATACCTGGCTCATGGAAGGCACTCAATAAACATCTCATTTTGAACACACTGGGCTCTTCCATATACCCTCAGGTAACATGGTTACACCAATGACAAATAATTTAGTGAAGGGAGAAGGAAAGTCACACTGTCTTGGTCAGAAGAGGCACTTGTGTTCTGCCGGGATCCTTACCAGCCTTTAGCTTGGCCAGAAAGGAGCGAAGCTCTCAGCTGCGCCTTCCTTGTCAGAACAAGGATCGCCAGGTGACTTGTCATTAACACAGACCCATCCAGCTGTCCCGCTTCCGGCGACGGTGGCATTGCCTAATGCTGGGCGTTTAACCGACGGCTCTTCTAAAAGTTGGAGGTTGGAAGCAGCGGGGAGTGAGTATTTGCGCTGCTTGGGCCCATGCCATCTCCTGTTTCAGAGCATTAGCGTGAGCCCTGGAAACACTCTAAAAAGAGTGGAAGCCTGCAGATGGCTACAGCAGGACCCTGTTTCAGGCAGCCTCTGTCTATAAACTATACCTTCGACTTTAATATAATAATTAAAGGCACCCACATACCTGAGCCCCCCGCCTTCTGAAATTTAAAAGTTTAGTTCCTGTCAGCACACATTAGTGTCGTAGGATAGAAACCTTGAGTTTGCTGGATGCTTAGGAAGGATGCAGATTCTGAAGTTCTGAACTGTGGAGCCACGATGGAGAAAGATGCCTCATTTTTTTTTTTTCTTTGAAGAGATCATTTCCTTTGTCCTTTTGATTTGATGGCAGGTCTTTTTTCATATTGTTATGTTTCCGCTTTTGACGACCATTTTGACTTCATTTCCACCAGTCATTTTCAACATTCCCCCATTTTCCCTTTTCTTCAGTGGAAAAATTTCTTTATTCTTTGGATGCTTTGGGAAGGTCACAGCTGCGCTTTTGGGGGTCTCTCTGCCTGCTGGCATATTTTATCCTTTGAGCCCTCCCTTGACAGGCCTGGTTGAAACCCCTCTGAACTGCGCAGAGGGAAGCAACAAGGGGAAGAGTCTGAGATCTTTACAAGCCAGGCGGGCTCGAATCGGGTGGCACGAAAGGAAAGCAGCTTAAAAATTATGGAAACTATAAGCCAGGCAGAGAAAGACAAGTATCACATGATCTCACTCATATGTGGAATCGAATGAACAAAATAAACTGACGAACAAACTACATCCGGAGACATGGAAGCATGGAACAGACTGAGGGAGCTCAGAGGGAAGGGGGAGGGGTTAACCGGAGAACTTGTATGCATATGTGCATAACCCATGGACACAGAAAATAGTGCAGTGAAGGCCTGGGG